ATTTCCTGGGCCTAGAGGTGAACTCTTCTCTACCTCATCTCTGGGGATGGTTGAATGACTAGTGCCTAGATTAGCCAAAATGAGTGGGTTGGGACATGCAAACACCAAGAAAGGACTGGTAATAGACAGTTAAGCTTCACAGGTAAAAAGATCCTAGACACCGATATGAATTTATATGAGCACACACATGAGAGAACATTGAGCCTAATCATAAAAATAGCTGTTTTTTTTTATCAGGTGTGAACTATATTAGCCATGCTAAAGTATTTACAAGTTTAAAAAGATCTAATCCTCTGATACTGAGGAAAATAAGGGTTGTGATTCCCATTTCAGATAAAGAAACTGAGGCAAAACTGAAGCAACTATCCCACAGTCAAATGGGAAATGAGATTTTAAGCCAAGTCTTTGAACTCTCAAGTTCATGGTTGGGACAGAAACTTAGCAGTCTTTCATATTACTGAATCAAGAATCTTAATATAAAAAAGGGGGGCCACCTGGGTGGCTCAGTGGTTGAGCATCTGCCCTTGGCTCAGACCATGATACTGGGGTGCTGGGATGAGTTCTGCACAGAGCTTCCGCAGGGAGCCTGCTTCTCCTTCTGCCTATGCCTCTGCCTTTCTTTCTGTGTCTCTCATGAATAAACAAAAAATAAAATAAAATAAAATAAAATAAGATAAAGAATCTTAAAGCTGAGGGTCCTAGAGCATCCTTTTTAATTATCCAGATCCTGCTTACCTCTGCTAAAAAGGAGTTTACTACCTCACAAGGCAGCCTGTGCCATACAGCTATACTCATTGGGAAGCCTTTAAATGTTAAATTAAAATTGATTTCTCTGTAACTTCCCTTCATTTGGTCTTTTTTTTTTTTTTTAAGATTTTGTTTATTTGTGAGAGATGCAAAGAGAGAGGTAGAGACACAGGTACAAGGAGAAGTGGGTCCCCTGCAAGGAGCCCGATGCGGGACTCCATCCTGGGACTCCAGTATCAGATCTGAACTAAAGGCAGATGCTCAACCACTGAGCCACCCAGGCATCACCTCTTCATTTGGTCTTAATCATGCCTCCTGGAGAACTCGAAACAAAGCTATTTTTTTCCATGATGCCATTTTGGATTGGAGACAGAGATCATGCACTACCACTTCCTTCTCCCATGCACTACCACTTCCTTCTCCCACCCGCATCTTTGGAGTAGTCTCAGTTCAGGAGATCTCACTGTTGAACTGTTCACTCTCAGACTCATCAGTAATGAGAAAAGCTCCAAAGTGCCACCTATATCTTGGGTCTAATTTGGGTAATAGGTGTGATCCCAATTACTTACTTAAGGTACCTATGAAATATCGGTTTAGTTAAGCCATTTGAGTCCCCCATGAAAGTATGGAATTCATCTAATAGAGCAAATAATGGCTAACATTTATTGAGCTCTTCCTATGTGCCAAGAACAGTGCTAAGTGCCTTATAAACACTTTCCCCACATCCAACCCCACCACTCCATGAGGCAGGTATTGTCATTATCCCAGATATACGGATGAGGAAACCAAGACCCAAACATTCTGAGGTCTTCTGCTCATAATCGCATATCTTTCTTTTCTGATGATGTGAGGAGAGGGTAAGGGCAGGATGGAACTTGTGGTCCCCAGAATGAGAGTTGCATTTTCCCATCTTTCTTAATGTATACATTGCCTCTCTCTGTTTTGGCTCATTTCTTCACAAACATTTAATAAGCACCTCTCACAGAAACACTTATTCTGCAGTGACTAGAGTTAAGACATAGTCTGCAAAGAAAGTTATGACACCCTCTAGACCTTATCTCCAGGGTCCAGGAAGCCTTCAGAGTGGAGGTAGCACCTGATGTGGGTTTTGAAACATAAATAGGAAGAGAAGAGTTGAACAGTCAAAGGACAGGATAGGGAAATTCAAATTTCAGCAAGAAGGAACAGCATGTGTAAACACCCAGAGTCACGAATTTGCATGAGAGAAAAAAAACCCCACCATATCGTAAGCAGGGTCCAAAATTTTAGAAACTTAAAATAGAAGTAAAGTTTGCATTACCTTGAGGTTAAAGAAAAATGTTTTTTGTTTTTTTTTTTTTTTTCTGTTGGATCATGCTGTCCACAAAAAGCACACAAAGTGAGGATGGTGAAACTCGTTGTGTACACAACTGCCTGGTCATTTAAGCGAAGTTCAAAGGATCATGAGGCAGTCATTTCCAGTTGCCCCCTAAAACACTCCTTTGGAAGAGCTCTTTAGTCTGCCCCCATTTGAGAAAGTGGGAGGTGCTTAGTAGAGGACCACTTGTTAATTGCAGTTACATCTGAAATTTACATTATCACAGACTTTTTTTAAAACTTAAAAAAATTATTTATTCATTTATGTAATCACTGCACCCAATATGGAGCTCAAACTCATGACCATGAGAACAAGTCACATGCCCTTCTGAATGAGCTAGCCAGGTGCTTCAGATTATCATAGACTTTTCCTTTGTTGCTGAGTGTGGCCCCTGGGAGGTAAAAGGAGTAGAGAGGAATCTAACTGAACAGGTAACCATAGGTGATCATAACCAGTTGCTTGTGCCATTCTGTCCAGAATGAATATTATCTGAAGACTGACTAAAAGCCATAGAAGGATTTTGAACACAATCACTCAAGTGCCTCCTTCTATAAAAAGCATTACCTGGCTATCACACTTGGTGGCGAATTCCTTTAACCCAAGTGCTTTGTATCATTTGGTCTCATCTCCCCTTAGATTCAATACCCTGTATTCTATTTTTGTTGTATGTTATTCATACCTACAATATGTGCTCCAAATATATTTGTTGTGTGAAGGAAAGAAGCAAAGGCAAAGAAATTGTTTGAGTTCCTATGATTGTACGACTCAATCTATTGGAATTGAGTTCACAGTGTGGATGAACTGTTAAAGTTGTACGGAGACAAAACAAAACTTAAAATGTTTATAAGTATGAATGTGAATTATACAACCATATTTTTTCAAATGAAACCTTTACTTTTTTTTTTAAGATTTTATTTATTTGAGAGAGAGAGAGAGAGAGCACAAGCAGGGGGAGAGGCAGAGGGAGAGGAAAAAGCAGACCCTTTGCTGAGCAGAGAGCCCAGGACACTGGGATCATAACCAGAGCTGAAAGCAGGCACTTAACCAACTTAGCCACCCAGGTACCCCAAGCCTTTACTTTTTTATTTGCTCAATTCTATTGAACCCCAAAGTACTTGGGACTACAGAGGACACAAAGCAAGTGTATATGCTATCAGTATGTTCATCATGTATGGAATTGATTTATCAAGATAACATATTTTGTAAGATAAGTGAAAGGGCTAGGATTCATTACTAGTGTTAATTCCACTATCAAAATCTCAATCCTAGCCTTTAAACTTGCAAATCTACATATTTCATTTGAGGAAGGGTGCTTAGATTCTACAGGAACCAAACCAGATTGCAGAAAGACTCCACCTTCCAGGCCAGTGCTTCTCAAAATATGGTACCTGAGCCAGCAGTAGCAGACCTGGAGATTTGCTCAGGAAGTGCAGAAATGCAAATTATCAGGCCCCACCCCAGCAAGCCTACGGAATCAGAAATTCTGAGGGTGAGGCCTGGTAATCTGAGTTTTAAAAGCTCTCCAGGTGATTCTGAAGCAGGAAGCTCAAGTTTCAGAGCCACTGCTTCTAGTTACTCTGGCTCTTTGTGAAGGGAACAGCTGAGATGGGGAGTGTGGGAACCTATTCCCCACTCTTCAACGATCCTTAATATCTATTGGTTTGCTTTGCCATTACCCTAATACAGATGGAACGTAAGGCCCATTAGACAAAACATGAACCAGACCTGTTCCACAGAACTGTGATGTCAGTTTTCCTTGGCTTTGCCTTTGGTCATTTAAAAAAAAAAAAAGTCTTGCTTCATGAGCCACACTAGTCTCTGAACTTTTCCCTTTTCTAGTAAAAGTACAAATTCCAGCTGGAGTTCTTGACCAACAACATCTTTCTACAGAAGTTGCTGTCTTCTATGCTTTGCTGAGTTCCAGAGATAAGATAAATAATTTACCAAATGTAGGTTTCTGATTACTCACTCTATTAGCATTTAGAGCAGAGAGCTCTGGCCCCTGGGGATTTTGATTCGTTCAGATGCAACCCATCTGCTTTTGTTTTTTTGTGGGGTGTTTTTTTTTGGGGGGGTGGGGTTGCCTGGAAAAGCCAGGGAGCTCCCAGCATCCCACACATACTTTAGGGATGAACTGCCTAAATCTTAAGGGTTTTACTGGAAATTCTGGGGAATGCTATTTTCTTATTAAACACACACACACACACAGCTGCTAAGACTCTTTCTTCCTCCCTGTCCCCTCTCTCTTTTCTTTTAATGCTGAGTAAAAACAAAACTCCACAATTCATTTTCATTTATTATACGACATAAGATAGCTGAAAGGGTATTTTCAATCTTGTGCAATTTATTTATGCTAAATTTATGCTGCACACAAGAGTAATTTCAGGGAATTTTATAGAAGGGGTGTAGTAGAGTTTCTCCTAAATCAAGTGACATTCTGGGCGGCAGCAGGGGAGGGGGGCGGGGAGGGGGACAACTTGTTACATCAAAGCATCCATCCTTCACTTACACGATTTTAAAGTATTGTTGCAATGTCAATAGTGATAGAAGCAAAAAAAAAAAAAAGTTATAGAAGCAATAGAGTTGTACCTGTAGTTATTCATGGTCTCTTTCCTGTATGGTTAAGTTTGCGTCATTATTATTTTATACAGTTCTTTTTTTTAAAAAAAATTATTTATTTATTTATGATAGGCATAGAGAGAAAGAGAGGCAGAGATTCAGGAGGAGGGAGAAGCAGGCTCCATACCGGGAGCCTGACGCGGGACTCGATCCGGGACTCCAGGATCGCGCCCTGGGCCAAAGGCAGGCGCCAAACCGCTGAGCCACCCAGGGATCCCTATTTTATACAGTTCTTAACAGTAAACTGAAGTACAGAAGAAATCACAGCAAAAACAGCTGATTTTGTGGATTGTTTATTGCAAAAGCAGAGGAAAAATCTGAGATAAATTGAAGAAGCAATGTGTTGGATATGTAATACATGCTCTTTCGGTTCCTTCAAGATAACATGATCAGCAACTTACTCCATCCCTTTTGAAAAGAAATATTGAACTGTGTGGCTGGATGGTAGAGCATAGTGGTGAGAGGATCTTATTTTGGAAATCTGTGAGAAAAAGAATCTGCATTTAGTCTTCCACGTCGGATTTCTGTATTTTCACGCACCGTCTTAAAGCAAAATCAAGATTTCACATCTCACTTCCTCTGGTGAACACCCCGTGAATAAGTAAGGCGATAATATGACATCTTACTACAAACCTATTGTTTTCCTGTCCGTGATTTAGTACAAAGTTGATCATCTCCCAATACCAAGTTGTACTGAAAATCCCTTGCGTGGAAATGAAAGTTGTGGCTCGGTTTGGGGAGTGCATCTAGCTGAGCAACGAGCCTGGGTACAGAAACAACATTATTAGATCAGAGATACCCCTAAAAGGGAAGGTAAGGACACAAAAGGAATTCCTTGGGCTTCACAGCTCTGGGTTGGAAGCAACTACAGAGTGAAAGGTGTAAAAATGGTACCTGCTACCTATTTTGTGTTTCTCTGGGAGATTAACCTACTTTCTTGGCTCATTTTCTTCTTCCTACATCAGTTGGTGTAAAGGCTGCGGTAGCTGGCAGCCTCAGATGACTCCATCTGCATCTGTCAGCATAGTTCAGGGCCTCTCCGGGACACACAGAGTCATTTACCTCCATTTCCTCTTGCTTTTCTCCCCACAGCAGGTAACAAGGCTGCCCCAAGCTTCGACACATTCTCTCCCCTGTCCTAAGAACCTGCCAAGCCAAGGACGGTGAGTTAATAGTTGGAGCGTGTATTCCTTTCTGTTTTCCTGTCTTCTGACATCTCCAAGAGGCTGGAGCAGTAAATCTGAGAAAAGCAGCATATAAGTACACACACACACACACACACACACACACTCACGGGAGAACTCGGACCCAGCCACTTGCTCTCCACTTCTGCTTGCCGTCTGCTGCATCTCAGAAGGTTTCATATTGCTCCTGCAACATTTTTTTGGTTGGAGGGCTGAATGAAACACAACCTTCCCCGCAGACATCAAAGCACGTCTCCTGCATAGCAAACTCTCCAACCAGCCTTTCGTCTCTCCGGCTACATTCCAATTTAACCGGGGCTGCCTTGCATGATAATCAGGCCTAATTACCACTTTATCCTTTGATTGTTGTGCTGAGTTCTGGAACTGCCGAGCTTTTCTCGGTACGGTCCTGCCTCTTCCCGCACTCTCCCTCCTATTATTCAGCATACCCATCTGAGAGAGTTCGCAGATTTAGCCTCATAATTAACAAATGGTCGGAAAGGGCAAGGCTGTGCCTTTGGGATCTCAACACTCAGTCCACCTATTAAACTTGAATTTCTTTCACGACAGTGCGAAGACCTTGCCATGGACAGGATATTCCGAATACCTTGGGAGCTTTAAAGAGATTTATTACCAGGTTAAAGAGTAAAACAGGCCCTGAGATGATATCCTCGTTCCCCTAGAGCTATTTTCCTACCTTTTCTCTTACCGCACACACACAAACACCAAGTCGTTTACGAAATGTTGGAGCCAGAGGGAAAGGGGCGTAGACAGGGACCTTCTGGAAACCTTCCACCAGTTTTTTCCCTTTGATAAGATGCATTTTGATGCCTTAGTTTCTCGAACTGAAAAAGGCATCACAGTCAAAATAATTGAAAAAATGGGGGATCAGGTAATCCTGTTGACCTCCATCTTATGCCACCCAGGTAGATGATCACATATTTTATTTGAAAGTTCTTTTTCATGTCCCGTTACACACATTTTCTGAGTGCCTACATGTGCCAGGCACAGTGTTAGGTGCTAGGGAACCCTTAAAAGACTACAAGCAAGACACCTGGCTGGCTGAGCCCCTAGAGCATGTGACTCTCCATCTGGGGGTGGGGGTGGGGGTGGGGGTAGGGTCGTGAGTTTGAGTCCTACTTTGGGCCCAGAGATTACTCCAAAAAAATAAATAAGGGACCACAGGTATTTAGGTGAGGAGGAGGACTAAGAAGACCCGGGAGGTCTAGAGGCAAACATTTTTCAAAAATGTAATCTGAGTGGAACAAAATTGACCTTGAGTTGATATTGTTGAAGCTGGGTTTGGAAACATGATTGCGCATCATTACTATTTTGTCTATTTTTTATGTTTTAAATGTTCCATAATAGAACGTCGGAAGAAAGGAATGTAAACCGGAACCATAATCTGTAGAACCACCTGGAGGAAACTGGATGAAATGCAGATTCTCTGGCCCCACCCCAGTTGTAGCCAGTGTTTCTTGATAGGGCTCAGGAATCTGCATTTTAAGCAAGCTCCTCATGCAAATCCGATGCCTACTGAAGCTTGAGTTCCTTGGCAGGAGAGACAGTAAGTGCCAAGAGTGGAGGCGTAAGAAGAAAAACCATTTATCAGAGAAGAAAAACTTCCCTGGAAACCACTTACGGAGGTCGGACAATTTCATGACTGGAAAGAGGACCTTTGAGATCCAGAGGCCAGGCCAGAGCTTCTCTCACATTGTGAGGTGTGCCGGAATCACCGGGATCCTGTTCAAATGAAGTAGGTTGTGGATGGGGCCTGGAATTCTGCATTTTGAGCTAGCTCCCAGGCAAAGCCTTGCTTCAAGTATGCGAGATCACCTTTGGATTAGCAAGGATTAGTATTTTATAGAGAAGGAACCTGAGGCTCAGAGAGAAAAATACTTGCTCAGAGCTGCAAGCATCCAAGTGCATCCCTTCGTGCTGCTGCTGACTAAGGAAGCTGAGCCCGTGTAGGATCCTCTTACCTGCTGGGTATGGGGAGCTGGCTCCCTGCAGGAGGATTGCAAATGTGGGCCAGTCCTGGAGCAGGGCTACAGTACAGATTTCTCCTCAGCACCACAGGGGTGATCTGAGGAGCTGCCAAGTGGCCATTCTGCCACAGTCTGTTGTTTCTTATCATCATGACTACATCTCCCAGGTCTGGGATCTTGAATTCCACTTGGAATTCCATGCAACTTCTTGGGTAATAATTAGATAAACTGAATGCATGACCCAACGCACTGACATGCGCCTGGATTTTAGCAAATTTTCAGTCCGATGCTAGCACACTGAGCAAGTTAGCTATCCTGAGTTGCAAAGGCAATATGGTTTATAATCTATTAAATAGACTCCGTGGTATCAGGATTGGGGAGCATTCTTTGACACAGGAAATCCTGTTTCACACAGTGGCTGGTAAACTCAGAAAACTGATTATCCCAGACCTGGTACAGATTCAAAGATCTTTCCCACTCTCCCTAGTGGGTGGATAAGATAGTTTATCATCCTTAATGAAAGGGGATGCTTGGGTGGGGAGGGGGAGTACTTCTCAACCTTTGAGGTTGAGGTCAGAGACCTTGTCAGTGACAACCCAGGACAGGACCACTGAATAACTGAGCTGGGGGGTATGTTTTATAATCACTCATTTCCAGGTAGTGAAGAACTATGGTAGGACATTCGGACTCCAGAAATTTCTAAACAAAAATGTTACTAGAACCCACCCTCCCCCAGACATACGCACACACATACACGCATTCTCTGCCTATCCCCTCAAATGAAGCATCTTTTCCTCTGGCTTCCAAACAATTTCTGTTGGAAGGAAATGTCTCTGGGTTAGAACAGTCTGTGATCTTTTCCAAAGACGTGAGGGAGTCCTCTTGAAACATCACATGTTACGTTTGTATCTTTTCCCCCTGGTCCAAAGACACATTTTCCCTGAGCCTTCTTATCTAGAAATCCTAAAGCAGCCAGGACAGATGAATGGTAGGCAGAGTCTCCAGCCCTTGTGGTCCCAATCTGAGTGAAGTGTGAAAGCTTCCCAGAGGATCAGAGTCCAGAGAAAAGTTAATTTTTGGTTCTAGGCATGTGGACTTAGCTTTTTGTGCCGGTGAGGAGCGAGGGCTCGGAATGAGTAAACTCTTGGGGGTCGGGGGGCGGGGCGGGGGGGGGGCTGGGGCTCGGGGCTGGGAGAGGGGCCTAGGGCCTCCCTGGAGCCCAGAGCCTTTAGTAATCTGCTTTGTGAATGGAGTTTAAGGGGGAGGGGGATGCACATACTTGGAATGCCTTTATCTGGGTGGGCTCCTTCTCTCTGGACTTTCAGGATGTGGGAAATGGAAGATGAAAGAGGCTGCATTTCCAGCCTATCAGGTTACAGTGTGTAAAATGGAGAGGGAAAGAAAGGGGGGGGGATGAAGAGGGTGGGGGGAGAGATGGTGCGGAGAGGGGCGGGAGGCCGTGTCCAGGGGGGCCCGGGAAACCCAGTTTGGGAACTGGCTGGGGAGAGTCAGAAAGAAAGACAGCCGGGTGTGCAGAACACGTTTCGCATCACCTCAGAGCTGTGGAATTTCCTCTCTTCTGGGGGGAGGCCTGTGAAGATGAAGTTGGTTGAAGGTTAGTCGGTGATGAATAATAGCCCAAAGGCGTCTGATGGAGGGTGTTACCCAGTGACTGGTGTTTACAAGCAGAGATTCGGTGGTGGGGAAGGGAGGTGAGAGCCGGGCCGTCTTCGGGCTGAGCTGGTAAGCAAATGCTGTGACCCGAGACTGGAGCCCACGTATGGATTTTATTTGTGTCCAACCCCTGCGGTTTGCAGAGCCCGGAGTGTGGGCCGAGGAGGGGCCGAGAGCAGCGGGGAGGTCATCAGAAACAGCGGGAGAACCTCCAATGTGGGTGAAGGATCCGGGGCCCTGCGGGCACGAGCTGGGCTGTGCTTTGTGTCCCCTGGGCGGTCCCTGCAGCTCTGTTTCTGTTCTAGCTAAGCCACGTGCTCCCCGCCACTCAGCTGTCGCACCCCAGGCTCCGAGGCCCTTAACCTCCCAAGAGCTGAGCTCATTTCTTCCATTCTGCCCAGGCTAGTGTCCTTCCTTCTCTAAAGGGAAAGAGAGACACCCCTACACACACACCCACCATCCAAATCTCTACCCCAGTGTGGAAGTGTGCAAAGTAGGGTCCAGTTCCTAAGGCCGGGGACATCTCCTTTAGGGGAGATTCAAGATAGTGGAGAAGCATGGGGTCAAGTTATGGTAGAGACCGGCAGAGAGAATGGGGCGTGGGAACATGGGAGAAAGCAATGGGGTAAGCCTGTTCAGAGAAAAGGAATATTTATTAAACCCTGATATTAGCCATAATCAGGCAACACATTGTTCTTATCATAGGATGGGTAGAGAGTTCTTAGATGGCGTATAAATCACCCCATACTATAGATGACAAAAATATTGCTTGTTTGGGAAAAATTATAATACAATAAAATACACTTGTCACAAACCATACCAAGCTTTGTTTCATCTTTTTTCTCTTGTTTCAGAAAGCCGTTTAGGATTTTGCAGTCATCATTTCCAAACATCTATTAGGGCCTTACTGTAGTCGCGTGAGAGGTTCAGTTAATAAAGATTTCCGGTTGATAGATAGCCAAAGCAAACAGCCTTTTGCACACTATCTTCTTTAAATTGCTACTAAACTATAGAAGCATTCAGTACCCCCCCCCTTTTTTTTTTATCATTTTACACAAATCGAACACTCATGTTCTTCTCCTTTCTCTTACATCTTCCCCCAACAGTTTTGGAAAATAAATACAGTGCTTCTTTCTCTGTTATCTGCTCTCTGGCTACCTTTCCTAGGAGAGCTGTAGCCTTGACCCTTGCCAGACTAAACCCAGCTTCCCTGATCTACACTGGTTCTTTTTTTTTTTTTTTTTTTAAGATTTTTAATTTATTTATTCATGAAAGACCCGCAGAGAGAGGCAGATACATAGGCAGAAGAAGAAACAGGCTCCTCATAGGGAGCCCTATCGAGCCAAATGCAGATGCTCAACCACTGAGCCACCCAGGCGTATGTATGTATGTATGTATGTATGTATGTATGTATTTATTTACTTACTTATTTATTTATTTATTTATTTATTTATTTATTTATTTATTTATAAGTAATCTCTACAGCCATCTTGGGACTTGAACTCACAACCTCGAGATCAAGAGTCGCCTGCCCCATGGACTGTGCTGGCAGGGCGCCCCTGAACACCACAGATTTTCTAAATTTGACTTTTTTTTTTTTTTTTTTGAAAAGGTTATTAAAGGGATGCCTGGGTGGCTCAGCAGTTAAGCGTCTGTCTTCAGCTGTGGTCATGATCCTGCGGTCCCAGAATTGAGTCCCACATTGGGCTCTCTGTATGGAGCCTGCTTCTCCCTCCACCTATATCTCTGCCTCTCTCTGTGTCTCTCATGAATAAATAAATAAAA